TCTCAAACAGAGGAGAATGGCTGCAGAAAATCACTCTGCAGTGACAGAGTTCATTCTTGGAGGTTTAACAAATCGGCCAGAGCTCCAGCTCCCCCTCTTCCTCCTCTTCCTTGGGATCTACTCAGTCACCATGATAGGGAATCTGGGTGTGATAACGCTGATTTGTCTGAATGCTCAGCTTCACACCCCCATGTACTTCTTCCTCAGCAATCTGTCGTTCGTGGATCTCTGCTACTCCTCTGTCATTACCCCGAAAATGCTGGTGAACTTTGTGTCAGAGAAGAACACCATCTCCTATGCAGGGTGCATGTCCCAGCTCTACTTCTTCCTTGTGTTTGTCATTGCTGAGTGTTACATGCTGACAGCGATGGCTTATGATCGCTATGTTGCCATCTGCAGACCTTTGCTTTACAACATCATCATGACTCATGGAGTCTGCTCCCCACTGGTGGCTGTGGTCTACGCAATGGGGCTCATTGGCTCAACCATAGAGATTGTCCTCATGTTGAAACTGCCCTATTGTGAGCACTTCATCAGTCATTACTTCTGTGACGTCATCTCACTCATGAAGCTCTCCTGCTCTAGCACCTATGACATTGAGGTGACAACTTTCTTTTTGGCTGGATTCAACATTGTGGTCACCAGCTTAGCAATCTTTGTTTCCTATGCCTTCATCCTGTCCAGCATCCTCGACATCCACTCCACAGAGGGAAGGTCCAAAGCCTTCAGCACCTGCAGCTCCCATCTTGCAGCTGTGGGATTATTTTATGGATCTACCATGTTCCTGTACTTAAAACCCTCTGCAGACAATTCCCTGGCCCAGGAGACTGTGGTCTCTCTATTCTACACCACAGTGATCCCCATGCTGAACCCTCTAATCTACAGTTTGAGGAATAAGGAGGTCAAGGCTGCCATGCAGAAAACTCTAAGGAGAACATTCTTTGGGTGCAGATGTCATTATTCTTTCTCAGGTTGAAAATTGGGATAGAAATATAGGGGAGAAGCCCTTTACAAGCTTATGCACACATGAATAGAAAACAGCCCCTTCTCAGCATGACCTGTTGAATGCATTTACTCATTTTTCCCTCTTCCCTTTCTCCCTTTCACATCTTTCATGTCTTACAGGTTGAATCTTGCTGGTTTCAAGTTCATGGGGTTTTTTTTCCCTTTTGTGATCAGTTGTTTGTTTGGATATCCTTTGCTCTCTGGTAAACATGTATCTATCTTGATTGCAACATAAATTTAGAACTTTCAGCAATGAATTTAAGACAGCTGTCCATTGATTTACCGTCTTCTATAGAGAAATATTACCCAAACTAATAGTTAAGTTGCACTTGAGAGTACACAAATGGAGATGAGTTCAAAAGTCTCAAGAAGTCACAAAGTCTTTCTCACCCAGATGTATGCCTTTATTCTCTCTCTTATTATACTGTTACTATCTCATTTGTGCCAAGATTATTTAAATGGCCCCTTCACCAATTATTGCCATCATCATCATTAGGTTTTTGTGCGGCCATAGGTTTCAACTCCTCTGGGTAGATACCAAGGACCACAATTACTGGATTATATTGTAAGAGTATGTTTAGTTTTGTCAGAAACTGCCAATCTGTCTTCCAAAGTGGCTGTGCTATTTTCCATTCTCATCAGCAATGAATAAGATTTCTGTTGCTCTGAATCCTCACCAGCACGTAGTGTTACCAGTGTTCTCGATTTGGTCATTCTAATACATGTGTACTAGTATCTCGTTGTTTTAATCTGCATTTCCCTAATGACACATGATATGAGACATCTTTTCATATGCTTATTTGCCATCTGTCTATCTTCTTTGGGGATGTCTCTGTTAAGATTGTTCCTTTCCTCTTTTTCCCATTTTTTAATTGAAATATATTTGACATATAACACTTTGTAAACTGAAAATCTACACATGTTAATTTAATTTGTTTATATATCTTTAATATGATTGCCACTGTTGCAATAATTAGTACTTCTATCGGGTCGTATAGTTATCCAGTCTTTTCAGTGATTGAAATAATTGAGTTCTAATCTCTTAGCAAGTTTGATGACTATAATACAGTATTGTTGTTAATATTCAACATATTGTGCATCAGATTTCTAGGAATTATTTACTACTTATTGCAAAATTGTGCCTTTAACAACATCTGTCCTGTATCCTGACACCCATCCTCCAGTAACCACCATTTTATTCTGTTTTTAGAGTTTGGCTTTTTTAGATTCTGCCTATAAGAGAGATCATGCTGTTTTTGTCTTTCTCTGGCAACTTATCCTCAAGGTCCATCCAGAGTATATCTATTTTGCATAACGTTCTTCATCAGATATGTCTTTTGCAAATGTTTTCTAGTAGACTGTGGCCTGTCCTTTCATTCTCTTGACAGTGTCCTTCTACAGAGTAGAAATTTTTAATTTTATTGAAGTCTAGCTTATCAATTCTTTCTTTCGTAAACTGTGCTTTTGTTCTACCTAAAAAGTCATTTCCACACCCAAGGTCATCTAGATTTTTTCGTTATCTTCTAGGAGTTTTATCATTTTGCACTTTTACATTTAAGTCACTGATACATTTTAAGTTAATTTTTGTGAGCCGTGTAAGCTCTAGTCTAATTTATTTGTTTGTATGCTGATGTCCAGCACTGTTTTTTGATAGCACTACCTTTGCTTAATTTTTTTTTTTGGCCACTTTGTCAAAGACCATTCATGTGGGTCTGTTTCTGGGAACTCTGTTCTGTTCCATTGATCTACTTGCCTGTCCTTTCACCAATACCATACTGTCTTGATTACTGTGGCTTCATAGTAAGTCTTGATGTCAAGTAGTGTCAATTCTCCAACTTTCAATTTAGTTCTAGTTCTTCACTATATGTTGGCTATTCTGAATCTTTTACCTCTGCATATAAATTTTAGGTCAGTTTGTCTATATCCACAAAATAAGCTGATTGAAACTTTGACTGGAATTGTACTGAGTCCATAGATTAAGTTCAAAAGAACCGAAATCTTGACAATATTGAATCTTCCAGTCCACAAACATGGAATAGCTCCATTTATTTGGTTCTTCCTTAACTTATTTCATGAATTTTGTAGTTTTCCTCATGCAGATCTTCTACATATTTTTTTTATTTATACTTAACTATTTCATTTGGGGGGAATGCTGATGTAAATGGGATTGTGTTTGTAATTTCAAATTCTATTTCATCTTTGCTGATATAGGAAAGTGCTTGACTTTTGTATGTTTACCTTAGATCCTTCAACCTTGCTGTAGTCACTTATGAGTTCCAGGAGTTTTCTTGTTGATTCTTTCAGATTTTCTGCATAGACTGTTATGCTATCTGTGAACAAAAACAGTTTTATTTCTTCTTCCCCAATCTGTATACCTCTTATTTCCTTTTCTTGTCTTACTGCATTACTAGGACCAACACTATATTGAAAAGCACTCATGAGAGGGAATCCTTGCCTTGTTCCTAATCTTAGTGTGACAGCTTCAAGTTTCTCACCATTAAGTACGATATTAGCCTTAGGTTGTATGTAGATGTTCTTTTTCAAACAGAGGAAGTTCCTCCCTAGTCTTAGTTTACTGAGAGTTTCTATTCTGAATGGATTTTGGACTTTGTCAGATGCTTTTTCTGCATCCATTGATATGATTATATGATTTTTCTTCTTTAGTCTGTTTATGTGGTTATTATATTAATTAATTTTTGAATATTGAACCAGCCTTGCATAACTGGAAAAATCCCACTTAGTAATGGTGTATAATTTTTTCTATATGTTGTTTGATTCTATTTGCTAATACTTTGTTGAGAATTTTTGCATCTATGTTCATGAAAGACATTAGTCTCTATACTATAGTTTTTGTTTGTTTTTCTTGTACTGTCTTTGTCTACTTTTAGTATTAGGGTAATGCTGGCCTCATAGAATGTGCTAAGAAGTAATCACTCTTCCTCTGTCTTCTTAGAGAAATTACAGAGAATTGGTATAATTTTTTTAAATATTCGGTAGAATTCGCCATTGAACCCATGTAAGCCTGGACAGGATGGCCAGAGTGGGCTGGAGATGGGCATTTCCTTTTCTCCACATTAGAGGGCTACACCCAGCTGGCGCTTTCCCCTACGATGCCTGCCAGGAAAAGCCTTCATAATTGCCTATGGTCGGGCCTGAAACATCATGCATAGGTTTTGGCCTGGAGGAAGACTCCTCAGCTTCCAGGGCCCATGCAAGCCTCTTCTCTGGCTCCATCCTTCCAACAGCAGGCTACACTGTTGGTGCATTTACTCCAAGGGGTGGTCAGGAAGAAGCTGTATGCAAAGGATGTGGATGGCAACTGGGTATATGGACTGGAGGTATTTATACTTTGCAAATGTGTTGGCCCCTCACACTGTAAGAGGGGTAGGAGTGACAGGCAGAGGGAGTAGGCTGTGGCCCACAGGAAGGCACCTGGGAACCAGGGTGGATCTACCTGTGCTACCACCTTTTTGTCACAGAACTTTAAACATCTTAGGATCCTCTGTTTTAATCAGGCCTTCCAGAGTTGTGAAAGTAGTTTGTCAAGGTAAGAGGTAGGAACATATTTTATTTAACACTATATTGGTTTATTTTTTATTTACTTTTTATTGTGGTAAAAAAGCACATAACATAAAATTTCCCATCTTAACTATTTCAAATACATAGTTCAGGGATGTTAACTATGTGCACATTGTTGTGAAACAGAGCGACTGTATTCGTAATTGCCCAAAACAATTTGGAAGCAACCAAAATGTCCTTCAGGTGGTGAATGGATACACAAACTGATCTATCCATATAACAGACTATTGTGCAGTGCTAAAAAGAAATAAGCTATCAAGCCATGAATAGACATGGAGGAAACTTAAATGCATATTACTATGTGAAAGAAGCCAGCTCTATGACAATCTGGAAAAGACAAAACTATGGATCATTAGAGAGATCAGTGGTTGCCATGGGTTCTGGGGAAGAGAGGAATCAACAGGTGGAGCACGGCGGATTTTTAGGACAGTGAAACTACTCTGCATGACATTATAAGGGTGTATAGATGTCATTATACATTTGTCCAAACCCACAGAATGCACCACACCAAGAGTGAACTCTAATACAATCAATGGAGTTTGGGTGAAAATGATGTATCAATGTAGGTTCATTAGTTATAACAAATGTACAATGGGGGATGTTGATAATAGGGGAGGCTATGCCTGTGAGGGAGCTAGAGATATGTGAGAAATCTCTGTACCTTCAGCTCAATTTTACTATGAGCCTAAAACTGCTCCAAAGAAAAATAATTTCTTTTGTAAAAAATAGTTTTTTATATTCACAGTTCCCAGGAGACGGGAGCATGCCACACCATGAAGGCCACATAGGGAAGCACCAGAATTGGTCATGAGGCAGAAAGAGCAGGGAAACTCGACAAGAGATTCTATTGTGTTTTCTGCAAGAAAGAATGGGCAGGAAGCATAAGCAGGTTTAGGACTTGGATAGTTTGAATAATTTCAGCTGGTTCTGGGACACAGGGGCTGTCCCCCAGTTGCCTGCATTTGGGATAATTTGGACAAGTGGATAGTGGCCCAGAGTTTGAGAGCTGGATGAATAGGGTTGTTAAGGGTATGGACCCTGGAGTGGTTGGTTTGCATTTGCAGCTACACTTATAGGCTGAGGGAGTTCATCACTGCTGAACCTGCTTTATAAGAAATGCTAAAGGGAGTTTTTCAAGCTGACAAGAAGTCACTAATTAGTAACATGAAAACGTGAAAATCTACAAGGTAAGTATATAGTCGAATTCAGAATACGCTTATACTGTAATATGGTGATGTCTTAACCACTTTAGTATAAAGGTTAAAGAACAAGATTATTAAAATAGCTATAGCTGCGATAACTGTTAATGGATACACAGATGAAATGAAGTAAATTATGACATCAAAAAGTTATAGAGGGGAGAGTAAAAGGGTAGAGTTTTTGTATGCAATTGAACTTTAGTTGCTGTCAGTGTGAGGTAGACTGTTGTAGCTATAAAATATTTTATGTAGGCCTTGTGGTAGCCTCACAAAGCAAAAGACCTAAAAGATACACAAAAGATAAGTAGAAGGGAATCAAAGCAATACCACGGAGGAAAATTATCCAAAAAGGAAGGTAACAAGGGAGGAGGAAAGGTACAAAAGAACTGCCAAACAGCCAGAGAACAATAAGCTAGCATCAGTAAGCCCTTACCTGTCAGTAATTACTCTTAATGTAAACGAATTAAATTCCCCAATCAAAAGGCAGAGTGGCTGGATGGATACAAAAACAAAACCCGACTATATGCCACCTACAAGAGACTCGCTTGGGTTTTAAGGACACACATGGGCTCAGAGTGAAAGAATGGAAAAGGATATTCCATGCAAGAGGAAGTCAAAAGAGAGCAAGAGTATCTACATTTATATCTAATAAAATAGACTTTAAGTTACAAATGGTCCCAGGGGACCAAAAAAGGGTCATTATATGATGGTAAAGGGCCAATTCATCAAGAAGACATGATAATCATAAAGCAGAGGCACTAAACGTTGGAGCATCTGAATATGTTAATGAAATACTAACACATCTGAAGGAAATCATTGACAACAACACAGAAAGAACACAGGGTTATGATACCCCACTTCCAACAAGGGGGAGATCCCCCAGATAGAAAATCAATAAGGAAATGTTAAACTTGAACTATGCTTTAGACCAAATCAACCTAACAGGCATAGATGGAATATACCGTCGCACAATACACATTCTTCTCAAGGGCACACAGAACATTTTCCACCATACATCATATGACAGGTCATACACAAGTATTAGGAAATTTAAAAAGACTGAAATCATACCAAGCATCTTTGCCATCTACACTGGTGTGAGACTAGAAATCAATAACAAGAGGGAAGCTGGGAAACTCGCAAGTAAGTGGAAATTAGACAGACTGCTGAAAAATCGATGGGTCAAGGAAGAAAATTTTTTAAAAATCTGGAGACAAACAAAATAGAAGCACAAAATACCAAAACTTATGGGCTACAGCAAAAGCAGTTCTATGAGGGAAATTTATAGTGATAAATACCTACATTAAGAAAAAAGATAATGAAAAAGAATATGAAAAGGATATATGTATGTATATGTATGACTGAAACATTATGCTGTATACCACAAATTGACACAACATTGTAAACTGACTATACTCCAATTTAAAAAAAAAGTGACAGGGGGAGGATATAGCTCAGTGTGTGCTTAGCATGCATGAAGTCCTGGATTCAATCCCCAGTACCTCCATTAATAAATTAATAAATAAATAAACCTCCCACCAAATAAAAGCTTAAAAAGTTAAAAATAAATAAATAAGAAAAAAGTTGTAAAATAAACAAGGTAACTTTACACTGAACTAGAAAAAGAATAATCAAGTACAGAGTTAGCAAAAGGAAAGAAATAATGAAGATCAGAGCAGAAATAAATGAAGTGGAAACCAGAAAAATCAATAGTAAAGATCAATAAAACCAGGATATGGTTTTTGAAAAGATAAATAAAATGAAAAATGAGACATTACAGTTGATACCACTTTAGAAATACAAAAGATTATATTCCATGAACAATTATATACCAACAAATTAGATAACCTAGAAGGAATGGATAAATTCATAGAAATATACAACTTACCAAGAGTAAATCATGAAGAAACAGAAAATCTGAATAGATCAAAAGTACAGAGGATCTATCAGAAACCAAGTCTGCCAGCAAAGAAAGGCCCAGGACCAGATGGCTTCCCTGGTGCGTTCTACCAGACATTTAAAAAAGAATTAGCTGACTCTTTGATGTCACATAGGTGATAAGTTTTTTTTGTCAAGAGGTCATGATTTTGGGAGAAATGATAGAATTAAAGAAACTTATGAAGGAAAAGCTAAAGAGTAAAAAGTGCTTTGAGGTATTGACATTAGGATTATCCAAGTTAGGATGATCGAAGAACAAAGAGAAGAGAGAGGGCTGGAGCTCTCAACCACCTGTCAACTTAGCAAAAATATATCTGAGAAAAGAATGATTAAAAAACATATTTCTGAAACAAGTGGGTCAAAGAAGAAGAAATTATAGGGAAATTTGGAAATATTTTGAAATGAGAAAAATGATGAAAATAAAATAAGAATCTCTCCGATTGCAGCAACACGGATGCTCCTGGGGAAGGTCGTTCTAAGTGAAGTCAGCCAGAAAGAGAAGGAAAAATATCACGAGATCGCTCATATGTGGAATCTAAAAAAAATTAAAAAATGAACATAAATACCAAACAGAAACAGACTCGTAGACATAGAATACAAACTTGTGGTTGCCAAGGGGCAGGGGATGGGAAGGGACAGACTGGGATTTTAAAATACAGAATAGATAAACAAGATTAT